GCAACACAGCCTATTCATGCTGTGGGTAGATCTCTTTTCACGACTGAGGTAGAAGTCCTCCACAGACATCAGAAGAAGAAGAGGGCAGGACATTTGTAGCCTTCCTTCCATTGCCATAATATGGATTAGTGAAGGTCCACTGATTTCCTAAGGGAGACATGCTGTGAATCACATCATATCATCTGCAGGTTCCCTGAGGAGGTCTGTCCCACACATTACGAAACCATTGCAATAGACTATAGAGTCACACTTGTTATTAGCCATAATCAAAAGTAATTTCTGCCGTTGCATGCACATCTAGTACACAGGCTCATTTAATTATTTCTAATAACCCAGTATATCATGTGCAGAGGAGTTCGGAAACATTCAGTGTTTCTCTAATTATGAGCCATTTTAACTGCTCCTAAGTAATAACTGCATGTAGTGTAAAACATGGCTGAGAGATGGGTGGAAGAATTATGTTCTTCTGCGATGTGGAGAACTTTAAAGTCAGCACCTGCTATTTTATCTTGGGAAACCTCTGGATAATTGTACTACTCTGGGACCTCATTTGTTAGTGACTCTGGTCTGTAGAGTCCTTGCCATTATTTTAAATCCAGACCTGTAGGATAGGAATGGCTAAACTTCCCCATTCCAGATGTACAGGAAGGACACACACCCCGGCCTTAATGGCTGTCTCCTGAGGCAGCTGAACTGTGCATGTGACGTTGTTCAGACTTTGACTTTCCTAAATTTGAAGAACTTGGCAGGCCAGCAGTGGGAGAATGCTCCTGAATGTACCTTCTCATACTCTCAAACATTGATCTGGAGTACCTTCGAATGTAGTTTTTGAAGTAGTACAAACAAATGAGAGGAATAGCAAAGTATCCAATGTTGTAGGGTGGAATCAGGCAAATTTCCGATTGAAAGAAGACAAGAAGTAATAGGGAGGTGGAACAATGAATGGGTGAAAAAATTATGTTGCCCATATACAGTGGTGTCCCGCATGATGATGATAATCCGTCCCATAGAAATCGCTGTTTAGCAAAATCATTGTCATGTGAAAACCATTTCCCCATTGGAATGCATTGAAACCCGTTTAATGAGTTCCAATGGGGAAAATACCTTGTCATTTCGCAAAGATCGCCCATAAGGCAGCCATTTTGTGAAGCGCTGATCAGCTGTAAAAATGGCTGTCCTGCGAAACATGGGTCTGGAAAACACAGGGCAGCCATTTTGCAAAGCCGCCAATCAGCTGTAGAAATCATTGTCTTGTGAAAAAACAGTCCGCGAAGCACGGACCAAATCGTCATCAAACGAAAATTGCCCATTGGAATGACTGTTTTGCGAATCACTATAGTGATCACAAAAAGTCATTGTAATGCAGATTCGTCGTTTAGCAGGGTTGTCGTCTAGCGAGGTACCACTATATATAGGTGTATTTCACACAGGGCAAAGACCTTTGAATCCATTCAGCAGTCTTGGCTAGAACAGAACTGTCCTTCCACAAGCAGGCGAAGACCTTTGCCTTTGGAGAAGCTTTCACTCAGTGACTGGCTGCCTGAGTGAGGTTTTTAAACGGATTGTTTTCAATGTGCTTTTGGTGTTGTTTTTGTTTACCTTGTTGTAGTATGGTATTTGACTGTATTTGGGACTACACGGTGGGTTTAGAGATCATCAACACCAAGGCCTTCCTAGAAAAGATTTGAATTGAAGAAGGATTTAAAGATGACAGAAACAGAGTAGAGGTGGCAGTGGCTGGGAGTTTCAAATGCCAGATAATTTAGATTGCATCGTACACCCATCTATTTAGGACTGACTTCTAAGAAGACATGCATTGGATTGCAATATTAGAATGGAGTCCTGCCCACACTTAAGTTTATCTGACTGCACTGTAGGCCTGCAGGCTACATCTTTCTCCACTTAAGTAAGTTGCATAGTGTGGGAAAAATGAATGTGTGAATTCCTCATCCAGCCTTTCATGTGAACTAGAGCAACAGCAAGGTAAAAACCAATCAACTTTTTCAAAATGAGAGGTGGACCAAGCCATTGCACTTGTCAGCTTTAGGGCAATTTTCAGTTGCTTTGTAATTCACAACCCCAAATGTAATGCCTGCCTGAATACAATGAAACCTGATGGGGATAATTTAATAACTGTTGGAGATAATAAAACTGATCTTCACTACACAGAGGATCAGATTAAATGGCCTTGATGATAAATGACTGCAGTGCTTAAGTGACTCTGTCTCCAGGAAATCTGCAGTGGCAATTGTGAAAAAAATAGTGTCTCTGAGATCATGTAGAGCAGTGGTCCTCAACGTTGGGCCTCCAGATGTTATTGAACTACAACTCCCAGAAGCCTTTGCCACCACCTCTGCTGGCCAGGATATCTGGGAGTTGAAGTCCAAGAACATCTGGAGGCCCAAGGTTGGGGACCACTGGTGTAGAGGACTTCCTCTGCTCTGCTTTCTATTACACATCCATCCTATATGAAGGAATTAGGACAAAGTCCTCCAGATATGAAAAGGAATTGTGACATTATCATCACTAGTGCCAGCATTTTTTGAAAACTACATCTTTGAGCTAAATATAGAAGAGTTTGTGATACAATTAGACCAATATTTGATCTATAAGGAGAATAAGTGATCTATTGTTTATTTCCTCCTTTTCTCTTCTCAAAGGATATTAATATTATTATAAACAAATAATACAAAGAGAGAAGCATTCACAAACCACTCTTGTCAATTCCGTTAATGGGATCTCTACCCTTTTGAAACTAGTTAGTGAACAGCACATCCTCTTTTATATTACTGAACTTTTCACTTCCACTGGTTACGAGAAAGATTTCACAGTTTCTAAGAAAGCACATTGTAGAAAGGAAAACCAGTGACTAAAGGCTACAATCCTGTGTACACATTAAGAGGGAGAGCTGGCTGGATACTTAGATATCTGGCTTTGGAGCCAGAGGTTGGGTTGGGAGTTCAATTCCCCCCTATATCCATCAGAAAACCCAGCATTTGTGGCTTTGGGCAAAGCTGCACAGTCCCAGGATGACCCCAGAAAAAGGGAGTGGTAAACCACTTCTAAATACCCTCTACTTAGGAAACCCTCAAAAGGGTTGCCATAATCAGAATTTAATTAATTAATTGATTGATTGATATGCCGCCCACTCTACCCAAAGGTCTCTGGGCGGCTTACAACAATATTACTTGAGAGCTCACAAAAAGCCACTAGGGGTGGTTTTGCAATAAACACAGTTAGACACCAAGAAAGAAAGACAGTAAAGGAGGACATATATCTTTCCTTAATTTTAACTTTGTACAAACACAAATACAATTTCACTGCGAATCTTCTGAACAGCTCCCTCTCTCTCTCTCTGTACATTCACACATACATTCACATGCAAACATAAGCTCTGTTGATTTCCATGTGAGTTACTGCAGATAAGTAATTGGAAGATGGCAGATTTAATTTGCCTTTGTGAGTCCTCTTTTGTACACCTCTGGGAAGATTAATACTTTTTTTTTTCACAGCAAAGTAAGTTGTAGTAGCTGTAATAGCAATCATGGGCGATAATTCTTCACATTTCTTGTGAAAAGGAATGTGAATTTAAAATAAATAAATTAACAAGGTCGTCAACCTAAATGCAAGTGGAAATCCGATGGGAGTTAAGCAAGCCATGATTAATTTAAATTCTTTTGAGCTCCATGAGATGGAATCTGACAAAATCCCAGAGACTATGTCCGACTGGGCACAGAAGACCTTATTTCGGGATAAACATAGTTAAGATTATTAGATGTGTACCCCTCTTAGCAAAAGCTCAGTTTTTTTCAAAGAAGAAAACTCTGGGATGAACGAAAGCCCCCTTTCAGTGTTCGCCCTATTTCCTAAAACCTGAGCGCAGGCTCCTGGCTGCCAGTACAGACAGCAATTTGTTTTATAAGGTAAGGGGGCGGCAGGGGGGTGTCTCCTCCCTCCCTCCCTCCTCCCCCTCCCTGCAACCTCTTTCCTTTCCCGGTTTAACTCTCCTAAACTAAACCGAAGCGAATGACACAAGCGGAATCGCGCCTCTGGTGTCCGTCCGCATTAATCAATCTGACACATCCATTCATTCCGCGGCCGCGGGAAGGGAGTGTTAATCGTGGGTCTTTTTGACTCTTGAAGGGTTTAGCATTTGGCCATATGCTGGTCCTTTCCAGATCGAGCTCTCTTGGGGCGAGGGGATTAGTCGACCCTTAGTCTTCTGGGCATATGGGGGCTGGCTGCGTGTCCGTCCGTTTAGGCATGGAGGGACAGAGAGAGACAAATTAGATGCACCGGGGGTGAAGGGGAGAGCTGATGGAGAGAAAGAGAGAAGAGCCTGTAGAAAAAAAAGGCCTTTCTCTTTGTAACAAAAATGACTCGGAAGATTACATGCAGGAGAGATGCAGAAGGGGGGGGAAGGCGGCCCCCACCTCTCTTAACTTCATATAAGCAGCACATGCCTCCAGAGAATTTCGGAGGATTCCGAATCGATTAAGGCGACACACAATATGCAGCATTATTACCAAAGGTCCGAAGTCTCCTTGGTGGTCTCTGAAGACATTTACAGAACAATCTCGTGCACGGCTACTCAGAACTCGGCCCCCTCGGAGTTCGGAGGGACTTTACTCATTAGGTAGGCGGGTATAGGATTGCAGCTTTGCCTGTTCCAAGTAAAAACTTGACGGGGCGTCCTGTGGCCAGGAGGGCCGGGAAGACACGGGGAAAGGGAAATGACGGGGCGCTAGCGTTTGTCCTCGAAAAAGGCTCCAGCCAGGTGCTTAACTTTCGGTTGCCTTTTGTAGTTCGACCCCCAGAAATCCAAACCCTGCCACAAGACCTTGGCGTCTATGTGTGTTAACGGTATCAGGCGGTGAGGGATCATGGGAATTGTAGTCGAAAACCTCTGGAGAGCACCAGCTCCTCTGCTTTCGAATATCAGAGCGCTGGGCGAGAGGAACATACGCTTGCTGTTCTGAGATACGTGTCAGATTTCCTGCATGCCGACCGTTGCCTACCTTCTACAAATCCACGCTCTGGGTTCTGATTCTGAGCACGAAACCACTATTCGGGTAAAAGAGGGCGCCGGTTTTTGCATTCTCAGCCGGCCAGCTTTGTAGGCATGTTAAGTATTTCACCAGTTAGTTTTAACTTCTCTCTTAGTTTCACTCACACGGAATTATTGTAGCGAAGTATAAGTTTTAAAAAAACACCGCAAGGATGCGATGGAACGAGTTTCAAAATAATACGTGGAAACCCGACTGACCTATGCGGTTTGAAGTGTGGGGAGGGGATTCCTCTCGTCTGTATGTTGAAACGACTAGCACGAGTCCTTTCTGCTGAGGGGGTGTTAGGGAGAGGCGGCACCTCTGGACAACGAGGAGGAGGAGAGAGGCAATGAGTGTCATGGGGCACAACCACATCCCAGCCCAAGTCTCCATTGAGTCCTTGAATTGAAGCCTACTAACTGAACGAAAATGGGTGGAAAAACCTTGTATAGAGAGAGCTCTCTTGATTTGAGCCTGGGCTGAAGCGGATTTAAGTAGTGTTAATGTTAGAGCGACTGGAGTCGGTTTAAATCCAGACCATGTGAAAGAGGATATGGAGGGGTGGCAGGTCCTTTTTGGACGTCACTTCGGGAAAAGGCGAATAAATTAAGAAAAAAAATAGTGGGATTTACAGACAAGCGGAAAGCTCCTGCACGAAGCGGGTCTTAACTGAAATCGGAGCGTTGGGCCTGGCAAACAATCCGTAGAAAAACCGATTGACCAACTGCTGCAAATGCCTAAGAGTGAAACGCCATGCGTGTCTTTTCCGAATAAAGCTCAGTGGTGTTCCCTGGTCCTTACTCCCGGTGGTAAGTGGGCGTAGGACCTCTGCTTTGCCTTCGATCTTCGAACACACGTTCTCGGAAGTTGAAATCCCATTCCTTCATTTCTCGCCCACCCACCCACCTAAAAAACGGTGCTTGGGATGATGGATCTTTGGTGCCGCGTGGCGGCTCAGCCCCGTCCAGTTACCAAGTTAAGTCGGGGCGTGTGCGCGTGCCTCGCGCGGGGGTGGTTCGCGTTTCAGGTGGAGAGCCTGAATTTGGATTGGAAAGAACTTCAGAAGACAGGAAGCGCCGTGACTTCCCTTTCTTCTCCTTTTCGTGTAAACGGCTACCTGAGCCGGTGCAAACGTTTACTGTATATAGCTAGCTAGATGCACATATACGATGAGGATGCACATGAACTGCTCGATTTGGCAAGGTGGGTTCATTCTGAATGCTCCGCTCCTCCATCCGAGGGAAGCGCAACCTCGGGCTCCTCCGGCGCTTCCCTTGCCTCGGATGGGGCGGGGGCTCGCTGTCTCTCTCCCCCCCCGCCCGCGGGTCGTATTTCTCCGAGTTCTGGCACCAAGGGAAAAGCAACTTGCCCCGTCAATCAACCCGCAAGCTGTTGCTGCGTCTGGCCGCCTCGCCTCGCCCCCCTCGCGAGGGGAAAAGCGCACCGCGTCTCTTCCCAGCCGGGCTGCCGGCCGCCAAGGGAAGTCCAAGACCGAAGGCTGCCGACGACGCTCAGAGAAGGCCGGCGAGTTCCCCCTGGACGGGCAAGACACGCCAGCACCGGGGCGAGCGGGCGGGCAGGCGGGCAGGCAGGCAGGCCCAGCCAGGCGCCGGCTGAGGAGGACGAGGAAGCCACGTTTCCAGCAAGGGCCCCCGAAGGACGGGCAACCCGAAGGTTCAGCGGGAGCCCGGCCGCCCCCACCCGGCCCGCCT